AAGCTGTGAAAGGAAGATGCTGGTCATCGAAAACAAGAGAACTCTATCTTGAAGAGAATCTGAGCGCTGCTTCTTCTTCTTCCTGTCCCAGTTGACCATGGTCTTTTGTTAGCACCGCGATTCCCTCAAGAGATTAAGAAGAAAGAGCCGATGGCAAGTTTCAGATCGGTGCTACAAGCAGTTTCAACTCTGATAGGGTTTAGATGCCTACGTTATCTCACAGCCGCCAATTGAGAAGTTAAACCACACGACAGCACCAAAGGGCCAATTTCGCAGCACAACAGTTGAAAAGGGGGGGAGCGACCATTTCTCTTTCACCGACCAAAGTATGTAGGTCCCCCTTCATCTTTTCTGCTCTTTTGATGTACTACGCAAAGGTGATTCTTTAAAACAGTGCTCAGAGACATGTCAATTCCACAGACATGACTTTTCAGGGAGCTGAGAAGGGCAGGTATGCGTTCAAAAGTCAACCCACACTGCCAGTCACACAAGGGGAGAATGAAATCTCACTGATGCTTTCGCTTATGACGGCTGATTCATAAAAGATGACTGATAGCGATAACAAGTATTACAGTGAGATTACCATTAGAAATGGAACTCCCTTAAGAGATTAACTTTATTTGAGATAAGTGTGGGCTTCATTTGCAGGCTGAGTGTGCAGACAGGCAGCTTTAAATGATTGCATCTTTAGAGGGGAAATATTTTATCACCTATTAATTGTGAAGCTAACATCTGATTTAGCTCAACGCTAACATTTCAAAGACCAACACAAGTGTTCCTCTGCCCAGAGCTGCAGACAAAGAACAAAGGGAGACTCCTTGCCCTACTAAAAGAACAACGAACACTGATGGGCCATCCATGAAAAGGAGGACTTGTAGACGTAGCATTGATTGCAAGAACCCATGGCCATTCAGATTGGTGTTGGCTTTTTAAATTAAAATCGCAGCGAGTTTCATGGTGTATATCATCCTGTTAAGTTTTACGCTACCGTATACTAACCATCTAGTAGCAACCTCTCTTAACTGCAGTCAAATCTTGGGCCCTGAATGTTCAACTAGGATTTCTTAGATTATGCAGAAACTGCCCGAATTCCTTGCTGGAAACAATTGTGCCCCCAAGCATGTGTGTGATTCTGATTCATTATCTCTGCCAGTCACTTTCTAGCAGTTCATAGCAATGATGTTGGCTACAGCACCACTGAGCCTTATTCTCTGAGGAGGATTTAGTTGTAAAAGTTCCAAACTCTGCTCTGTTGATGCTTGCCATGGTCAGGATGATACCATTCAATGCAGGCTGGTGGCTGCCCTTTGGGGCTGTGGATCCAGTCAGGTTTTTAGCCTGCACTTTATAAGAGCGATCCAAAGTCCTGAATCTCATCGCCAACCTAGGCTCCTTCACACCACTTCTGAAAGAGGAGCCACCAGCCGCCCTTGGATGAAGGGCAGCAGCCAGGAGAAAAGGGTGAAGGCTGTTCTAATTACCTATTTCTATACTGCTGAAAGATGCACTGCTACTTTCAGGTCACCCCCGTTATCAATGGGAGGCGTGTTTTGACCTCATTCAGGGAAGGGGGCCCTTGGGCACATCAATGTGTGGGACCCTAAGCCTGCTTCCTCCCGATGGCCTCAGCCACCGAAAAATGTGCCTGCTCCAATTTCCATTGCTAGGTGCAATGAGAGAAGATGTTAGGCTAGTTCATGCCACAGAAGTGGCCATGACAGATGAGGCAAAGAGAGGCCATTACTCCAGACAAGGAGGCAAGCTGCATAAAAACCAAGAGTGGGCTACATTAACACGCTGGGCTTCCCCCTTCCCCTCATAAGCCTCCTGGGTACCACTAGGCCTTCCCATGCTTCTTGGCCACAAAACTCCAGGGTGAAAGGAAAAGTTACTTTCCACTCCTGGAAGCAGACAAGGGGGCGGTAAATTTGGACACTCATCACAACAATCTCCATCCCCAGACCTCGCTGTAAGCAGAGTTCAAAATACAGGCAGCCAGATCAGACCATACCAATAAATGAAGACCAGGTCTTTTGCAAAGGTAATGGCTCTTAATTGCCACTTAAGATCAAAGCACCCTTATATCCTTGACATTGCAACAAGGACAGTTTGCAATAGTATCCGGGTCCTGTAAAAATCCCTTTCTTTCCCAGCCTCTGTGAGGATTGCAGTTAAGCTCAGAGGAAACAGGGAGGACAGAAGTGCCTGGTGATGGATAGCAATTCCCCACCACCTAGAACATCCTAGGGCTTCTACACTGTGAGCCATGACTCTTTTATAGAACTGCCTGCAAGCCCTCAAGAGCCACATTTCTGCCATAAAACGGTGCACTAGGGTTTCAAAGTTGCCAAAAGCAAACTGAAAGCAGATGTAGAATTCAGGGAACCTAGAATGAATTTTATTCTTGAAATTCTCAGGCCTGGCGTGGCCTGCAGTGGGTCTTGCGGGTGGTACGTTGAGCCCAGAATCCGCCAAAGAGGCCCAACTCTGCAGGGACACATCAGAAATTGTTTCGTGTGCCAGAGACAAGGGAAATGTAATTGATGGCCAGCCCAGGGACAGAAAACAAATAGACACGTTTCACTGTCATGGCTACTTGAGAAATTTGAACTTCTCCAAACAGCTGGTGAGACAGGTGGTCTTCCCCCTCCCATCTGAGGGGGAAATATCAATTGTAATACAGGAGTTCATAAAACACACACACACACACAAACAAACACCACCACCACCCCCAAGTTTGAACCAGAGATATACCTGGGTTGTCTCAAGGATTGTTTTACCAGGCCAAACAGCGCTTCAAGGACAAGCAAAAAAGTTGCTGCTATTTGAGGCAACTTCATTATAAAATCATTTTTAATAAGCAATCTGAACAAAGAGAGGGAGCAGTCTGGCAGAGAAGCCCCAGGGAGACCCGGGGCTGCCCAGTTAAGTTATTAGGCAGAAACACATGAGGGACCAAACCGCAGTTTCACCGGCCTCAGGGGACAGGATTCAGTTTTCTCCCATTCTCCAGGGGCATCGGCGCCTGAAACAACGCAGGGCCCTTAACTAGCATTTCGGGAAAGTTCTGACTTCTCTGAGGAAAGTGTGTGTGTGTGTGTGTGTGTGTGTATGTGTGTGTGTTCTTCAGAAAACTCCCTTGACTTTGGACTCGAGAGGCCAAAAAAAAAAAAAAAAGACAAGTGATGAGCTGCCCAGAAGCAGAGCTGGCATCCAAGTTGAAAATAAGTGCAAGGCTGCACATTTCTGTTCATTTCAACTCAAAAAAGGACGGGGCCATCTGGACCGGAGCAGAGGTCCGTCTCAGAAGGCCCTCTTCACTATCCTAGCCTGCCCGTGTCTCAAGGTCTTTGGAGGGGAAGGTCCTTTGGAGAAGGTCCTTTCCTGGCACCAAGAGAGACAGGCTTCTCTGGGACGGCGCCCTCATTGGGGCACTTGGTCCCTACAAACAGTGACATTGTTACGGGCTGCTATATTTGCTTAATGCCAGGCTGAAAGGTTGGTATTTGCTCCAGCGTTGGAGGTTTAGACATGGCTTACGGATTGATTTCTTACCCATCCATCTCACCTTTCCAACAATGAGCTCAGGATGGCAGGCTTTTAATTGATTTGGGCAAATAAGTGTTACTATGGGATGCAGTCCATCTACATTTATATCTGTATTAATATCTAGGTCTGTATTAATAAGTACTGTATTGATTTTAGCTGTGCTTGCCTTCGTGTTTTTAAATGAAATTTTGTAATATTGGTTATCTGCTCGACTTTTTAAAAGAAAAATTTTAAAAGAAAGTGCAGTTCACCACTCAGCCGCGCTACCATCAGTGGCTGCAACCATAGGCACATAGAGTTCCACCAAAATCAACAAGGACAGCTAAGAGCATCTGCCACATTGAATGTATTTGGGTTAAGGTGCCCCCTATATGTGGCACATAAGGGATGTACCATCTAATGTACTGATGGGGAAAAGCAGAACTGGGGTGCAAGCAAGAGGGCAGGCATAGCACGCAGCACGTTTCAGCACCGGGACTGTTCCCTTGATCAGATTCTCTAGAAGGCAGGCCTGGCTGAAGCAAAACCCATTTCCCCAGCACCCTTGCCACCCTTTTGCTCACGTGATAAGGAGCGATCTGCTGGCAGCAGGTGAAGGAGAACCCAGGAAATCTGCAAGGATGAGAAATGTTGGAAGAGGAAACAGCAAACACCTTCCTTCAATTTATTTTGACTTCAGGGAGGATCTTTACTGAGGATGGAAAGGAAGAGTCATCTGCTGTGTTTTCACTTTTATCTGGAACCCTAAGGACTAGGAAGAATACACCAGGTGGTGTCTGTGCCACAATGATAGGTGGCAAACACCCAATGGCCCCTGACTAATGTCACAGCTTTAGCTGTGGCTCCTTGCACGGGTACAGAAGCCTCATGGCACAGCAGTCCAACTGCGGTCAAGTCTCTGCTCACGACTCGGGTTCAGTCCTAGGTAGCCCTCTCAAGGTTGACTCAGCCTTCCATCCTTCCAAGGTCAGTGAACTGAGTACCCAGCTCACTGGGGGGAGGGGGCAATGCATAGCCTGCATACTTAAAAACTGTAAACCACCCATGGGGCAGTACATAAGCAGCACACCTCCCTACTCAGCAATTATGTGATTCTCGTGCAAAATCAAATGTGTCCATCAAGCACAGATATGAAAACAGTTCATTCCTAGCCAACGGTGGAGACTCCTTAAACCACGTCTACATATCCCATTGTTGGGGCTGCACCAGTCTCTCTGAATCAGGATGAAAGTCTGTTTGGCAGATAAGAAATCTGTACAAACACAGTCTTCTGTCTCTTCCCCCTGCATAATATTTCTCTTTTCTCTTTGGTCCAGCTCTGTGCAAACCGATTATGAAACCTGGATCCTTCTGCTAGCTTTAATGTATAGTTTTGGGGGAACCAAACCAAAGCAATACCTCACACATGCATTAAAAAAGGAGACTGTATCAGAAAAGACAGCCTTACTTACATGTGTGCGTCTTCTTTGTTACAGAAATACCTAGGAGGAAAAGAGAGGGATTGTCATTAGTGAAAGCACTATCTCTTCCTTGATCACCCTCGACTGCAGTCGCTCAAAATCTGGACCTGATAGCACCTTTGAGATTAATGAAAGCTTTTGTGAGATGCATTGTCTAGTATTTTCATGCGCAAATGTCAGAAGAGGAAATGCTGGGAACTAGCAAAGAGAGAAGGTGGCTATGATAACCATTAGCTGGAAAAGACCTCTGCCGGAAAGCTAGATGGCCACTGCCAGACAAGGTAGGCCAGGGTGCCAACCATGTGGCCCGTGAGCCATACATTCCCTGCCGAGGTCGGCACTGCAGGCCCCATCCCCAAACATCTGCCTCTGGTCTGGAGCACGGACCCCCTTGGAAACCTGTGCTCTGAGGTAAACCTTCCATTCCAAGGCCCCTTTGCTCCTCTCCTCCCTACCCCTGTTTTGGGGGGATAAGATGGCTTCTGTTCCTCAAGACCAGAAATGACTGCTGATAAGGGATGTGAAGCAGTCTCATCGAAGTATTTATTCTCAACGAGGCAGGGTAGCCTGCCCAGGGTTCACTAATCCAGCCCCTGCCACCTCAAGCTCTCTCACCTCCAAGACCGCCACCCACTGTGTTTTCCACAATGTCAGCAGCCTTGGGAGGGGTAAAAATATTGGAAGTCAATAAATGCCCTCAGTGCAACACCTGCAAGCACAGAAGGACTGGGGGATTGATCCAAAGAACAGAGAAGAGTGAGGGGACCTCCATCAAGGTCACCTCAAAACTCTCATCCAGGCCAGGAGAAAATATGAAGAGAACCTCCTTCCCGCCAGCAAGCACGAGACGAGCAGCATCCCTATTGTTAGGTCACTTCCCCTTTTGAAAAGGGAGCGGGGGCCGCCTGTGGAAATCCCAGCATTTGACACACCCGAAAGGCACCAAGCGAGGGGAGGGTGGTCTCCTCCCCCAGGTTAATTATCCCTCTCCTCCGCCTTGTAGAACATTCCCTGCACATGATTCTGCTGAGATGGGCATGGACTTCCTATGTCCGGCAATGCCTTCGCTACAGGAGTTAAGCAGGAGCCACCCTTTGGCAGGGGTTGCACTCCTTAAACCTCAGTGAGCAGCATTCTGGAGTGGCTGGCGGCTTTTCAAAGTGGGCAGGGAAAACAACAGAACCTGTGATCAACGCAACATGTTTTGTCATACTGAAGTCATATTTTAAGCAGATGGCAAAGGTTGTATTCATGCCCACAAACACACACCGAGTAGAAGGAAAACAGTGCTTTATTCTGAAAACGAAAAATAACGGTGTGCTGAAGGATACTATGTAAGAAAACCAGCTCCCTGGCTGTTGGCAGTATTGGTAGTATATTTTTGTAAATTGTGTTTCTAGCTGTTTCAGGTGTCAGACTTCTAGAAAACAAACAAACTTTCAAACCTACTTATAAATATCTCCTTAGGTCATAGCTAGAGGGAAAGGGTCTCAGAGCCAAGATTTATCTGACACATGGCTGAGGGAGCCCACGCGGACATGGCTGTGGATCAGGCGCTACTAAACGCTCACTCCCCACAAGCACATCTGGCGCACTGGGGAAACAGATCTTGCCACTCACCAAAATAAATCTGGGACTTCATCATGTGTTTGCAGCTCTTCCACACAGTTGTGCTGTGAGTGGCTAAGGCCACCACACAAGATCTCCTGATGGCCAGCCTCTGTGTCCTTGGCTAGGAAGGACACAACAAGGGCCTCGCCAGTTTGGAAGACCCTGCCATATTTGTTGGCACACATTTTGAGAGCCCAGTGCAAGGGCTCAAGGAGGCACCAGAGCAGGGCTGTGTGGTGGAATGCAAAAAGTTTGCATTCTACACAATGTAAAGGGCTGGATTACATCTCTAGGCTGAACAGAAATTCCATTTAAGGCCACATTTTATGCTACTGAGACCTCACCATCAATAGCTGAAAGCCATTAGCCACCCGGGGGGCATGATCTTGGCAGATGTTAATGATGGCACAACCAGACTCGGAGAAAGCCTGTGCTTACCTCTCAGAGACCAGTCACAAAGCTAGTCTGTAAAATATATGGGAGGTGTAAAAAGTTTCACTGAAACACTCAGATGTTTCTAGGACCTAAAGAAACCCCCTCTTCTAATAATGGGCTGCCTATAATGTGTAATTTGACCTGCTCTCAAAAAACAACATGTTTGATTTGTTGTGACATGGTGGGTAGTTCCCAGTCCTGGGCAAGATCCAATCCTCTTTGGAACTTCTTCTCTCACCCAGCAATACCAACCAATTAGCTGGCATGCTTGTTTGACAAAGATGCGTTGCAACTAGGAAATACTTTCTATGGGACTGTATTTCAAAATGTTGCATTCTGATACAAGTAATGGCCAAGTCCGGCTGTTATTACAGTCCAAACCACCCCCCATTTCATCAAGCTTCTTATCCAATGATGTATTTCCATTACAGACTGACCTCCTGACATCAGTGAATGAAACTTCAGAGCAAAAGAGGACAAAAATGTCATGAAAATATCAAAATGCAGCATTGCCAGGGTTATCGGCACATGAAGGTTTCAATATTACAGTTATCAGGCAATCAATCACCCAGGCATTTACGTCTGACATTATGACTGAGTTCAAAAGAATTGGGGTGTCGGGTGATTATCTCCTCAGCAACCTGAGTTGTCTGTTGCAGGCAGCTCTTGTGTCTGAAGCAGAAGCAACTCTGTTTGGAACCCAAGGTCTGTCCCTGCCCTCCACCTCCAGTCCACGTAGGGCGATCTTTACAACAGCAACAGCAGCCACTGCCACAACAACAATGAGATCCACTCCACAGAAGAGTCTCCGTTTCCTTATAAAGAATTGTTTCCTGACTTGTACTAACCAATTACGAAAAGTCACAGCCATGCGTTTCAAGCCATGGCTTTAGAATACATACGCACAGGTAAGAAATGGGTCTTCGATTCAGCTTCAGGTGGCATTTTTGGGGACTCCACCACGCCACCCCAAATGAAATAGCTTCCAAGTGCAATGCTGTACATCCCCCTTCCACACTTGAGGCAGTCTCAGCACTGAGACCTTTTGGGCTTCCCTCTGCAAGAGAGAACCATCACCGGGTGCCTTCCCGCTCCAAACTGATGACAGAGACATGATCGCTAATTGAGCCTCCATTCCAAAGAGCAAGATACCTGGGCCATCTAGTTGCTCTGGGAGAATGAGAGGGACGGCCAGGGGCAAACCTGGTCGAGCCCCCTAGCTGGCTGCTTCCAGAACCGATATGGAGAGGCTAGACTGATCCTTGAGCCAGAACAAGCCAAGCCAACTCTTCTGTTCCTAGTCAGTATTTATTTTTAAATCAAATAAATACTTCAGAGTTTTCCTGTTGTTAAATTTCGTCTTCTCGGCTGGAACAGGGAGAACACTTCTCTGCACGGGTAAAGCTTTCATTAAAAACTTCTGTCTTCTCCCTGATGTGGTGTGCAGGAGTGGGAGAGGAAACTTAACCATTTTCTCCCAGATACCCTTGACCCTCAATTTTTTTCCCTGCTAGGGCGCCACTTTGAGCGACCCCAGAAGCCACCAGTTAAAATGGTGGGCTTTGCTTTGCAGCCAGAGTTTGGCAAAGCAAAAGAGAAGGTCCACGAATGCTCCGCCAGGAATACCTCCTCTTTGAACATTCAACAATGCTTCACGCAATGAAGAGATCACAGGATCATTCAATTACTAGGTTTTGGTTCCCTCCCCCTCCCAAAAAAACTCACTTCATTACAAAAAGAAATTTACTGTCAGTGCTGAAAGTCAAGCTAAGGTTTACGCTCCCAGTGGTACTCCTCATCTCCTAACAGGAAGAGATATGCACTGGGAAATAAGGTGGACATGTCTACACCCGTGTAGACACAAAGAAACACTGACCAATGGAATCTGAAAGACCAGCATGGCCCATCACAATCCTAAGCTTTCCGAGACTAGAGTTTACAAGATTCAGAACGGCTAGATAGCTCAATGGTTGCGGCACTTGGCCGCAGAACCAGAGGTTGAGAGTTCGATTCCCCACTGGGTCTCCTTGAGAGGGGCTCAACTTGATGATCAATAGGGTCCCTTCCAGCTCTGCCATTCTAAGATTATGATAATTATTGTTATAAAGTGTTAAACTCCGCACAGAAGGAGGCATTTTAAGCGAGGTGGGCAACCACCTGCTGAATGGTGGAGCACTCTTATTCCAGGTTCCACCCAGCCAAGCCCTTTTCTTCCCCCAGGTCTGATTTCATCCCATCCCATCTTATCCTGTTTTCCCCTCCCACATTTTCTGTCTCTACCCAGGAGAGGGAAAAGTCCTCCGTTAGCAGGAACTGGGGTTGAGAGATATTATGAGTATTTGCAGGGGGACAGATTGCTAACAGCGGTTCTCGTGGCTGGCTTCAGCCCCAACGGATGGTGCGAATGAGGTGACGCCATGCCCTTGGCTCAGGACAGAAAAGCAATTAATGTTCATCAGCGCATATTACGGAAAGTGCTCCGAGTCATTTTGGTCACTTCACTGTAGGGGGAAAAAGTATATTAATGGACACTAATGCTCACAGTTCACTCCAAGGGGGAATAAATTATAACAAAGGTTGCAAGAATGAAGGACAACACAAGATCCAGGAACCTAAGCCTTAAAGGGCGGTGCCGGCAGGGTGGGGGGCCAGAGAACTCCATAAGAATCTTTGATTGGGAACAAGAGGAGATTTTTCTTACAACATTCCATGTTTCTTGACCACCTTCTCCCAATGCTTGATGTTGGCATAGCACAAAGTAATTCTCTCGGTGTGCAAATAATTTGTGATAGAACTTTGGTAAAGCAGGATCCTTTTTGGACTACAATTCCCAGAATCCCCTTGTTGCAACCCTGGCATACTGATTGAGGAATTCGGCAACTATAGTGCAAAAACGTAACTCTCCCCCGCCATACACACACCAGCTCTGATTTATCAAATTCACAGCTACAAGATGTAGTAACACCTGCTGAATT